CCAAACCCAGCAGACAAGAAGAAATAACAAAAATCAGAGCAGAAATTAATGAAATAGAAACAAAGAAAACAATACAAAGAATGAATCCAAGAGCTGGTTCTTTGAGAAGATAAATAAGATTGACAGACAGCCAGCCCAGTAACCCAAAAGAAAAAGCACCTCCAAATTAACAAAATCAGAGATGAAAGGGAAAACATGACAACAGACACCAAAGAGATCCAGAACATCATAGGAGAATACTTTAAAAACCTATATGCTACTAAATTTGAAAACCTAAAAGAAATGGATGGATATCTAAAGGCATGGGAACCAGGGAAGTAAATGCAAAGAATCTGAAAGAACAGTAGAAAACGGGTGTTAACAAGGGAGATATGGATAATAAGTTATTTTAAGGGGAGCAGGGAGGGAAGGTTGTACAAGGAACCTAGGGGATAAAGGGAAAGAAGGAGCTCAAGCAAGAGAGGTAGGACCTTAGGAGAAGGATATTAAGGGAGAAATGGGAAAAACGGGGGCACCTTAAATGGGGAAACCATGGTGGAAGGGTTAGATAATGTGAGAGATAAATAATGCCTAGTTAGTTTTAGAAAACCAGAGCGAACCATATTAGGCCAACAACCTACTACAAATCAGACATACAACCAGTTCAAAGAATGTAATATATGTCTAGGCAAGGTTTATCTGAGAGCATTTGGTCTTTGCCCAAGCAATGGTCTTTGCCAAGCAAATGGTAATTAAAAGTACCAGACTGGTGGAACTAACCTTCTTGGATCTTTAACAGCCATACTTTGAGGCCTATACTAATTTGGTCAGAGGGACATAAAGGACAGTTTTTGCTCCTTGCCCTCCTAGGTTGACTAAGTTCAAGGAGACTACAAGCATCTCTCAAAATGTCCTCTAACTGGTGAGGCACCTGTCCTCTTGATCAAGGAGGCCATGGAGACCCCACCAGACAGACCTGAACCAGTGTCCAGTCTACAAAGAGGTGGTCAACACAGAGGAACAGAGGAAACATTTCCTCCATGCTTCCAAGTGAAGCCAGCCATGGTCGAGCAGGACCTTTGACTTATCTTCACAAAGATGGAACTGGTAAAAGAAAGGAGCCAGGGGCTCCTCCCAAGCCCATGGGACCCCTGAGGAACAGATCCTCAAACGACCTTAAGAGTAAAAATAAATTTGTTCATCTGGGCCAACTGTAGGCTCTTAAACACCCAAAAGGAAAGTACAACCAAAGATTAATGAGGTCAATTTAATTTTTAAGAGTCCATATGTATAGCTAAAGGCTATATAACAAGCAACAATGCCAGATAGGAGATACCTTCTTTTGAGTTGTTGGCCAGGGTGGTCCAAGGGACTCCCAGTTAGTAACCCAGCATAAACTGTGAAAATGAACAGCAGACCCCAATCTTATTTAAGGAATACTGACAACTGATTGCTGCTAGATAAAGAACAGTTGATGTTCCTAAAACAAAGATCTCTAGATAGGCTGACTAGATTCAGCAGACAGACAAGCACTGGTGAATGGCTGGGGGTGTCGACAACACAGTGGCAGTAACAGGGATGACAGAGTATATAGGCTTCAGCGTGTGGGAGGGGGGAGGCTATGGAAGGGTGCCATTTGGGAAGTGGGTATATAGATGAGACAGTGTGGGATGTTCTGTATGATATACACACACACAAAAAATCAACAACAACAACAAAAAAGACATATTTGAGGAGGAAGCATAAAAATTTACTTCATTTTAAATAGTAGAGGTGATAAACATTACCAGTGAAATCTACCTGATGACTTTATATCCGTACTCAGGTACTAAAGATTCGAGTGTAACCGACTGTGACTAGTAAACATCAGCTACATAGAGATTAAAGACACATGTGCAAACATCTATGCGTTAGAAGCATTAAAAAATAATGTAGGAAACAGAGGCTAGAGAGATGGCTCAGCGGTTAAGAGCACTGACTGCTCTTGCAGAGGACCCGGGTCCGCATTCCCAGCACCCACATGGCGGCTACGAACCGTCCTTAACTCCAGTTCCAGGAGAATACGAAGCCCTCTTCTGACCTCTGTGGCATTGCATGACATGGGTCCGCTCACATACATGCAGGCAATACGCTCATACACATTAAAAAAAAAAGAAAATGTAGGAAACAGCCAGGCGTGGTGGTGCACACCTGTAATCCCAGCACTCGGGAGGCAGAGGCAGGCGAATCCCTGTGAGTTCAATGCCAGCCTGGTCAACATAGTGAGTTCCAGGCCACCTGGGGCTATAGGGAGACCCTGTCAGAAAAAAAAAGATAAGGTCACATGTATAGTCCTGATTGGCCTGGAACTTACTATTATAGACTTGCAGAGGTGCTTCTGCCTCTGTCTCTTGATGCTGGGAGTACAGGCTTGTACCACCAAACTGGCCTGCTTTCTTAACCTCTTCTTGGAGGAAGTAGAGGGGATTGAGCCAGAATGGCCCCATAGTGCTCTCTAGTGACCAGACCATATTCTCCTCAACAGGCTTCTCTGAAAGGTTCAAAGTTTCATACACAGAAAATAAAAATTAGTAAATAAAATATTTTTAAGGGGCTGGAGAGATGGCTCAGAGGTTATTAAGTTCACTTTCTGCTCTTGCAGAAGCCCAGGTTTGATTCCCAGCACCCACATGGCAGCTAACAACCATCCATAACTCCCAGTCCCTGGGGGATCTGATTCCCTTTTCTGACCTCCATGGGCATTGCATGACATGGGTGCACTTACATACATGCAAGCAATACACTCATGCACCTAAAATAAAAAAAATAGAATATTTAAAAAATATTCTTAAAATACAAAACAACAACAAAATGCAGTCTATGGGGCTGGAGAGACGACCCAGCAAAGCACCTGCCTTGCAATGTAAGCATGAAGACCTGAGTTCCAATCCCCAGCACTGTGCAAACAAAACAAAACAGGCCAGGTGTGGCTATGCCTGTCTGTAACCTTAGAGACAGGTAGATCCCTGGAACTAACTGACCAATCAGCCTAGCCAATCAGTGAGTACTGGGTTCAGTGAGAGACTGTCTCAAAAGATGAAAAGAAGAACAGCAATAATTTGAGGGAAATACTCAATGTGTGCGCTTGCAAACAGACACACACCTTCATATATATATATATACATATATATACATATATATGTGTATATAAATATAAATATAATCTATTCTTTTC